GCAGGATTTTTTCAATATGTGCAACAGACCCCACTAGGGCTGGCTTTTATAGGGGCTTCTCACAAGCTTGAACTTCTAAACAGGGGACCAAACAAGCCAAATAATTGCCTTTTAGAAAGTGAAAAGTAGCTAATTTAGACTCCAAAACTCTACATTTCAGGGGCTCCTGGGAATAGCATGGATTCTCTTCTGATGGTATAAGAAAGAAAGAAGAGTTCCTCCTCGTTTCCCAACCACTGTCCCTCACCCCACTAGCAGTTTGGGGGACATCTAAGACTATAATTACATGATCTGCAATGCTGTAACCAGATCCTGATCTTATAGTTTCATAGTTTCATAGCTGGTAGGGTCGGAAGGGACCTGAGCAGATCATCAAGTCTGACTCCCTGCCATGGCAGGGGAACGTACTGGGGTCAAACAACCCCAGCGAGGTGTTTGTCTAACCTCCTCTTAAAGACCCCCAGGGTAGGAGATATCAAATCAAATCTGAGGAGAAGCGATTTGATTAAGAAAATGAAAGACTTTGAACAGAACAGATAAACAGTGACGCAAGATCATATGGAGAAAGTCTAATTTTACCTCTTAAGCTGCAGAAAAATATTATATAATTAAATCTGAGCCTCGGTACATAGCACAGGGCTAAAAAACTTGCCATAACTGGAATGTGTTCTATTAAACTACAAAATGCAGCCACTTAACAGGAAAATGTCTTGGCTTTGTGGAGCCCTCCCCTTCTTGTGATCTTCACAAGAGCTGAGAACAAACATGGACAACCAAAGAATCGCAGGCCTCCTTAGCTCCAGCCTATTCTACGTAAAAGGGAAGCTCATTACATATACAAAAATATTGGCCCAAGACTTTAGGTTCTATCCTCACAGCAGGTTTTTAATTAAACACATAAACATGTGACTTTTAAATATAGCCAAGAAACACCAAATAATCTGATGGCTCAATATGAATCTCTGCTTGTGCCTATTTTATGACTTCTTAAAGATTTTTCTTCTACTGGTAACAAAGAAAGATCCTTTGGGCTTCAGGCCATGAAGACACACAGTACACATTTAGGCCAACTTTAGCAGGGTTGCCTCTGTGGGCAACTGGCCCTGTAATACGGCACCCACCTGTGATTCAAGCCTGTTTGTAAATTGTCATTTCAGCAAATCACATTTTCCCCTTGCCCTGAGTGAAGTTTTTAAAGTCACCAGCTAGTTGTAAACAGGCTCTGCTCTGCCCATGGAAACTTGCGGATGGTGAGACCAGTTCCATAAGCAACTCTTCAAGGTTTAGGCTTGTGTGACTGAAGGGTGTGAATATGATTGCTGAGTACAGACAAGCACTTGCTGGCCCTAGATAATTCCTTTGGCTAGAAACCTTGAAAACACCAGCATTGTAAAGGTAATCTTTTGCCAACTGGATGATACTCCCATCATTGACATTCACATATTCATGAAATCATATATCATGCAGAGCAGAGAAACTTCCCTTTTTAAAAATCATCATTTAAAAAAGATAATGTAATCCATTTGAAACCCTAAGGCAGGCAGGCTCAGAACACTGAAGTCGCTCTTTCTGTTGCTCATTGCTTTGGGCTCCTTTTGCAAGGTGAATTAGATTCAGCCCTGACTTACTGTTGGTTAATATTATTTATTTTTTGTGGCAATGTGCCAAAAAATGCTCAGCACAACCCAAAATGAAGGCTATCCAAATAGTCCTGTCCTATAGAGCTCACTAATGAGAAAGATGAGACACAGGCAGACCCAAAGCAAGGGAGCATTATGGACAGATTATTAAATACTACTATTATTCTGTGCATGCAGACTTCTCTGTTTCATTTATCTAATACCGTTCGTCTCAAAGTATCCCAAAACACTGTGAAGACTAGCTGGGCTTACACTGGAAAAAAAAACTGTATAGATATTTGTTCTATTTAAAAAAAAAATCACTTTATGCAACATTTATGTCTGTTTTCTAGATGCAATTCATCCCCTAGCAGACAGGCCAGTCTAACTACCGTGCATCCCTTACATTCTGCTTTTAAATGGGACTTGTATCGACTCTGCATAGGGATCACTTCCACGCTCTGCAAGTGTCTTAACAAATAAACTTTGTCAGTATAAAAAGGCATGTTTTAAACATGAATGCTGGAATATTCATTGAACACAGACTGAATCACATAACTAATTTATGACAAGTAATTGTTTGAACTCCCTGCTGTTGTCACTTACTTATGCTAATTCTCTGACTTGAAAACCAAAACAAAACGCTGTTATTTTTGTAGCTTACCACATTTAACATTTTGAAGATTCGCAACAAGCTGTTCACAAATGAGCTATGGGCCACATATCCCTCTCTGAAGAGATTTGTCAAGCATTTTGGACAATAAATTAGCACAAGAGTTTTGCAATCTGTTTGTGTGTAAGTTATAAATTGATAAAAGAAACAAAAATAAACTTTTTTCCCTTACACCCTATTTGCTAAGTCCAAATGTTTAGTCATCTCTTCACCATCCCTCTCACTGACATGCCATCATTTATGCATGAAACATGGGGGCAGTTGTAGGCCAATAACATTACCAGTCACTCCTGCAAAAACGTGTAATGATCAGAGCTGCTCTGGAAACGCAGCACCAAGCCCCATGCCTGGTCCCATGAAGGAGCGGTGATCCAGTAATTGTACTTCTTCATCATCCACTCCACTTTCAGACTCACAGCATGCCCCAGCTAAGTGGCACTGGGATTAATAGTGACTCAGAAAGAAACTGCCCGAGTTTCTGAGTCACATGCACCTTTCCCTGCAGCACAGTGTCCCTCCTACTGCACTGAGGGATCTTGATTAGTATTTGCTCAAAGGGATGACTGCTTTCTACAGAGCAGCTCTGCACTGTTCCCTGCTGATGAAGACTGCAGTGGGTCATTTAGCTTCTACGCAACTGAAGCTTAACCAGATCCGAAGCTGGATCTTGTCACTTGTCCTCCACCTTCTTTATGTGTAAAATGTAACAAAGATTTGTCCTTCATATGTATGCGGCTTCTGTGGATGTATGAGGAAAAGAAACAGACTGGAGTAGGATTACATGTCTAAACCAAAAGAAACAGACTGGAGTAGGATTACATGTCTAAACTGAATGAAGAACTTGAATAGGATACAGCATCATAGGAATCACCAGACCAAGTAATTATTTTATTGATAAGACAAGGGAGAAGGAAACAAGGGGTGAGCAAGAGAGCGTGGATATATCAGAAACGTTATAAGCTTTATGCCCCCTTGAGACATTATAAAATATTATTTTTCACTTCTAGGCCATCTTCCATATAACAATCTCAAGTGCATTATGATTAGAAGTGAATTAAGCTTCACAACTCACCTCCGAGGTAGGTTATTATTATCTCAGTTTTAAAGAGGAGAAAACTGAAGAATAAAGAAATGAAGTGACTTCTCCAAGTTATCTGAGTCATTTAGCAACAGAAATGGAATTTGGAACTAACTTTCTGCTCTGATCATTAGAAGCACTGCTGCCAAATGCACCTCTGTAAACCCAAAGCCACTTTCAAGAGTGGTCTATGTCAGTTAAGCTTAAGAAAATAGTTTTGGGAGAAATGATGAGCAATATTTTTAGCTAGAAGTGGCTGAACCAAATACCTTGCTTGTAACAAAGTGAAACTGTACCCTGAATAGAAATACCAAAGAGCTCCATGTAAGCCCTGACTCAGCTCTCCACTCTGTGAGGCAGCAATAGCCACCAGGTAAATGATTGTTGCAGAATAATATTCTTTTTAATTCTTAAGGGCTGACCTTTTCACCAAAACATTCTAGCACATCATGTCTGGCCACTCACACAATCACTGGATAGACTGAATAATACTGAGCTGGAGACCTGCCAGAAGAGTAATATGAACTTGTCACCATAAAGCTTTTATAATCTTGAATACTGACGCCATTTATATTGACACATACAACTGAACCTGCCAAGCCATAGACTGTTAGGGGGCTGGCAAGAGAAAGAGTACAGTGGAACAGAGAGATATCAGCACAACCATAGAAGCCAAAATTAATTTGATCTACAAATTAGATCATCACACATCTCATATACTTCATTCTCTGTATCCAGTTCTGGTTGAAAACAGAGGCACAAGACTCAATACACAAACCAGAACCTCATTTACTCACTTCTATTCCTCTAAAGGCTTTGCAGAGATATATTTTCTTATATTTCCCAAGCACCGCTGGGCCTGAGATACCAAGGCACAGTCATCTGGACCCTTGGTGTGGCTAAATGTGCAGAAAAAATGGGGTGAGATTTTTTTGGATATGACAACTCTTGGCTGCTGTATGTAGTGAAATAGCAGCTGGATTTTGGTGGGCAGATCGGCACCTGGCATCCCAAGCAGGGCCAATGGAGCGGAGACAGTGCCTGTACACCCACACATTGCCAAAAAACAATGCAAAGGACTACAAACGTGGGTTGGCCGGTACACCTAGTTCTCTGACATGTACAACTCAGAGAGCAGAGTGGCTCCTTTTTGCCCCTTTTAATCCCTTAAGCATCAACTCAAGAAGCCAGAAAATCTATAACAACAGACCTACTGTGCCGTAACAAACATTTATGAAGCCAAGGCATTCATTCACAAGTACACAGCAGTCCCAATACTCTGGATGTCGAGTGGTTGTCTGTACATCATGGAAAGGGATAAGGAAATAGAAGAGTGATGAATGTTCCCTGTTAGCCAACTTCTCTGCCTTGCCCTTGCACCATTTAAAAAGCCAGGATTAAATCCTCCTATTGAGCCAGGGTGAAAAGAACAACTAGCTTTGATAGGATTTGGGGAGAACAAGGTCTCCCAGTTTTCTCTGTACTGGCCATGACAAAAGGAAAATTAACTCTCCACAGTCTGCCTCAGATACACCGTAGTCATGGACACATCCACAATGGCACTTTCTTTTGGCCAACTCATATTTTCTCCTTTTTCCACATCTCCAACAAAGCTGAGGACGGAGCTTACCTATATCACAGCGATCCCCCATGTACCCAGGTGGGCACAAGCAAGTGATACCTCCATCTCGTTCTTGGCAGGTGCCAGCTCCACAGGGGTTCTCATCACATGTCTTGGGTGCAACTGTAACCACCAAGAGAGAACATATTAGCCAAATTTATTCCAATACCTTTTGCACCAGTTTAATGAAGGTATGGCAGCACAATCAAAAGATCATAGGATCATAGGAAAGTAGGGCTGGAAGGGACATCACAAGGTCATCTAGTCCAGCCCCCTGCTCAAGGCAGGATTGTCCCCAACTAAACCATCCCAGTGAAGCGTCTGTTCAACCTGTTCTTGAAACTTTTCAGGGATGGAGATTCCACAGCTTCTCTAGCTAGCTTGTTCCAAACCTTGACCATTTACATCAGGGGTCAGCAACTTTTAAATCTGCAGGTCCAGATGCCCTCCACCCAAGGGTGTTCAGGGAGCTGGCGGGGGTCATCACGGAGCCCTTGGCCCAGCTGTATGAGCATTCGTGGTCATCTGGCCAGGTGCTGGGGTATTGGAAACTGGCTAATGTGGTCCCAATTTTCAAGAAGGGGAAGAAGGAGGACCCAAGTAACGATAGGCCTGTAAGCGTCACCTCGGTGCTCAGGAAGATCTTGGAGAGAATCATCAAGGAGCACATCTGTGGGGGGCCTGCAGGGGAGATCATGCTCAGGGGCAATCAGCATGGGTTCATCAAAGGCAGGTCCTGCCAGACCAACCTAATTGCCTTTTACGACCAAGTAACTAAATCCTTGGATGATGGTGTTGCTGTGGACGTAGTCTTTCTAGACTTTAAGAAGGCCTTTGACACTGTCTCTCACCTCATCCTCATCAATA